TTTACAAAAAAAGAAAAAAGAATTCAACAGAAAAAACATACCACTAACAAATTCACATGAGATCATGCAAAGTGTAAAGATCAATTGCCAAGGGCTAGCATTGCAATGCACATCACCGCAAATTTCAACGCACGCCATATACAAAAGAAAGTAGTGTTCAATATAAACATATTTAGATAACAAAAAAAAAAAATAAAAAAAGCTGAAAGCTTGCAGATGGCCACCAAAAATGAATTTCCTGGCTGTGACAGAATGTTCCATGAATTTGTAAATCCAAATTATGTGGTTCTAAGATATTCAGAATTAAATTCCTGAAAAATATTATGGAAGTGCAAGGTCTATGTGTAGAATCTATGACTAAGAAGCTATAAATGAGCAGGTAAACCACCAGACTACTTTATTTCTTCAATGATAAAGTTTACCGTCATAAAAATATATATATAACATCATAAATATAGTTGATTTTCTCCTACAACCATACTCACTAGATAAAATTAAAATTCTAGTAATGTTACTGGGATTTGAAATTGTAAATGAAATTGTAAACTTATAGCATCTAATGTCAACTTATTATTATACAAACAAAACACACCATTAACATAATATGACCCAAACACTACAACAACAAGCATAATTAAGCAACAAAAGATGAGGAACTTGCGGCATTAAGGCATACTTTAACTCAACCTACGGCGTATTATGTCTTTGAACTTCTTGACCAAGAAAGTTCTACAACAACAATCAAATTTCTTCATAAAAGCAATCACAGATCAAATGAACAAACAATAAAACCAACACTTGGAAACAAAGATATCAAATTACAATGGCATTTTGCATACCTGCAAACACATATCGGCATCAAGCGTGTTACAAATGCACGTAAAATACAATAGCAATGTTGTGGCTAAAAGTGATTAAAAGTCAAGAAACACAAAATTACTTGTCAAAAACAGAGTAAAATGTGAGATCCATCAATCTTACCATGGTTAGGGATTGACTTGAAACTAAGTTGTGTGTTTGTGAGATTCAGATCCATCAATCTTACCACGCGATGGCTGCCGCCAGATCACTCAAAAACTCACGCGACGGTGGCCGCCAAGGCCATTCATAACCTTACGCGTTACAGCCAAAGTCAAGGCCATTCACGGCCTCATGCGACAGCCGCCGTTGGAGCCTTCCACGGTCACACACGATAGCCGTAACCTTCATCATCGTGGGAACCCAAACACGAATTAACCAAACCCAAATCAGAATTTAGTGAAAACCGTAAAACACAGAACTGAGTTTATACGGATAACAAAGACTCGCGGTTTGGTGGCGGACTGAACTGCCGACATAGAATGTTAGATTCATTTTCAACTTAAATGATAGAATTATGCCCTTGAGCCGCGACTAAAATCATTAACGTCCATTATAGATTAGGGGCTTATTGTCACTTCTTGAAATGTTAAGAGTATACATAGTATTTTCGGAGAATATCATAGACAACCCCAATATTTTCGAAATTATATCAGACGGTGATTTTTGCATTTTTTTTAAATCACATAAACCCTCAAAGTTTGAAAACCGTATCAATATTGAATAATGTCCTCCTTTTCCCTAATTACATTAGTTTCGTATTTAGGTTAGAGGAATACAATGGTAATTGTCACTATTGGCACTTGAAAATGAGATGATCAAGAAAGGGTTAACTCTATGACACCCCTAAAACTCAAGAAAATGACACTTAAACCCTCATAATGTTAGTATGAAAGAGAAAGAGAGATGTCAACGAATAACTACAATCAACCGTTCCTTGATGCTTTGCCATTTCCGTTTGGGTTGGGTTTTGGTTTTCCGTGGTTAGGCCACTCGATCCCTTGGCTCGCTAGTCACTACCACTAATGATAATGTTGGGCTTAAAGACGTATCTAAAGGCAGTGATCAGGCTTTGCTTGTGTGCTTGAAGGGTGTCTCTGTTTTTATCAATAAAGAAATATGGTTTTCTACTATAAGCCAAGTTTGGTTCTTACGTTCATAACTTATAGTTTGATTTATTGAGAGTTATTCATTGTAGCTATTTATGCTTTGCAAATAATACAAATTCATTTATTTTAGGGAAACCTCGACGGTATGAGGAGAATTTTATTAATTGAAAAAAATATAATGACACCTAGACAGGGGGGACGTAATGAGCCTTACCCCTCAAATAAAGCTAAATACAATGAAAAAGGAAAAAAAAGAAAAAGCAAATGCATGAATTACAATAAAGAGATGCAAATGCATGAATTACAATAAAGAGAAGGAGAAGTACAAAAACATTGAGAGAAATTACATAATGACAAACCCCAAACATCACTCATTGGAATTTCTTGGTTGTTTTGCCGAGGTAAGACATGCTCGATAATGTCAATTGAAGACCTAATTAGCAATTAGATCCATCTACAAAATCACATATTCAATAGCGTTAAATGAACTCCAATCAACAATTAAGAATAAGAATTTAATTAAAATAAAAAGTCACTTGAAGAAAGAATTAATAAATCAATTCCTGAGGAATAGCCATCCACTACACAAGTGTTTTGCCTGCAAATTAACAAGAAATTATCTCTATTTGTTAGCATATGAGGGTTTATTAACAATTAATAATGAGCTCTAAGGGTATGCCTCATNCATGGAAACGAAATAGAAATCTAAACAAATTGACAGCCCCATAAATTTTATGAATTTGGAACTGCTGAAATGAGCCAATAAGAAGGATGGACCAAAACATATTTTGCCTAAATCAAAGCTCCAGATTGTGGTTCTTACAGGATTCAGTAGAAGTTCAGCATGGGTGCTGCAACATGAAACAAAAAGATTTCACCCAACTGATAAAATATACCATAAGCTTGAAGCAAAGACAGCAATAATGCAGGAAACAAAATGAAAAATAGATCAAGTAAACTAAGCTGCAAAGGAAATGCATTAAAGAGAAATTTCAATGCATGCCATATACAAAAGAAACTAGTGTTCAATATAAACACATTTAGATCAAAAAAAAAAAATGCTAAACGCTCGCAGATAGCCACCAAAAATGAATTTCCTGGCTGTGGCAGAATTTTCCATGAATTTGTAAATCCAAATTATGTGCTTCTAAGATATTCAGAATTAAATTCCTTAAAAATATTATGCAAGTGCAAGGCCTATGTCTTTCAGTTTAAAATTGTGAACTTATAACATCTAATATCAACTTATTATTATACAAACAAAACACTCCATTAACATAATATGACCCAAACACTACAACAACAAGCATAATTAAGCAATACGAGATCAGGACCTTGCAGCAGTAAAGCGTACTTTAACTCAACCTCCGGCTGGTTATGTCTTTCAACTTCTTGACAAGGAAAGTTCTACAACAACAATCAAATTTCATTCATAAAATCAATCATAGATCAAATGAACAAACAATAAAACCAACAGTTGGAAACAAAGCTATCAAATTACAACGGCATTTTGCATACCTGCAAACACATAGCAGCATCAAGCGTGTTGCGAATGCACGTCAAAGACAATCACAATGTTGTGGCCTAAAAGTGATTAAAAGTTAAGAAACACAAAATTACTTGTCAAAAACAGAGTAATAAGTAAGATCCATCAATCTTACCATGGTTAGGGAATTGACTTGAAACTAAGTTGTGTGTTTGTGAGATTCAAATCCATCAATCTTACCACGCGATGGCTGCCGGAGAAAATTTAATTGGGCAAATCTCCCAAGTTTACGTTTAAAAAAATGACCCTAAAAATATTTTTGAATTTTTTTTAATTTAGAAAAGCTGACGTGGCAAACTTAGGATTTATTAAACATGTAAAATGGGTTAAACTGAAAAGATTTAAAAATATGCAGGTAAAATCATAATTAATGGAAGTTTGTTAAAATTTTGAAATTTGAAAACGCACCCCTACCCTTCAAAATCGCTTAATCGAGTCATATACCCGAAAAACGACCGACGAACACTTGCTATATACAACTGAAATCTTCAAAAAACTTTCTGGAATAAATCAATAAACAATTATTATCTAAACAAATTTGTCAATATAGTCTACTTAATTATCCTATTGATGTTTGTAGTTATCTTCTATATAATTAGAATTTGTATCAGAATATATGACACACATTAAGGTCACAAAAATTTAAAAAAAAAAACTAATTTTATATTAAAGGTAAAAAAATATATAGTAATGGATACACCAAGTTCTCTTTTAACACAATATCGAAGACTGATGAATCACTATAAAACCTCAAGAAACTAATACTTCTGGGTTTACAATATTCTATCATCATCCAAATCAATGAGACAAAATAACACTAAAAAATAAAAAACACTTTCATCCATTTACAAGATCCTGAAAGTACATAAACAGTGAAGAGATCATCTTGGAGGGTAAACAATATGATCCATAAACTGGTCAATGTTTTAAAATCAGACATCCAAAACCATAGAGATTTTCCAATCTTTGTACAAACTGCTTCAGAAACTTGGTAGCCACCAGCCTACCTCGTGTGTTAACTGACATTTTCAATTCACTTATCTATTTATCAATGTCCTGCAATTCTATGAAAAAATTCTGTTTGTTTGATATATAGATTTAAAGAAATAAAGCACATGTATTCTACAATATATGACACCCAGTTTGGTTCTCTAAATGGTAACTAAAACATGTGCTACATAGTTGAATCTTAAAATTGTCCAATCACGTTTTAAATCTTTTTAAAAATGTTATATTCATGTGTCCAAGCACAGTTAATTTTCTCTGTTCCCCTGAAAATNCACACATTAAGGTAACAAAAATTAAAAAAAAAAAAAAAACTAATTTTATATTAAAGGTAAAAAAATATATAGTAATGGATACACCAAGTTCTCTTTTAACACTATTGAAGACTTATGAATCACTATTAAACCTCAAGAGACTAATACTTCTGGGTTCAAAATATTCTATCATCATCCAAATCAATGAGACAAAATAACACTCATTTACAAGATCCTGAAAGTACATAAACAGTGAAGAGATAATCTTCAAGGGTAATCAATATGATCCATAAACTGGTCAATGATTAAAAATCAGACATCCAAAACCATAGAGATTTTCCAATCTTGGTACGAATTGCTTCAGAAACTCGGTAGCCACCAGCCTACCTCATGTGTTAACTGACATTTTCAATTCACTTATCTATTTATCAATGTCCTGCAATTCCATGAAAAAATTCTGTTTGTTTCTACAATATATGACACCCCAGTTTGGTTCTCTAAATGGTAACTAAAACATGTGCTACATGGTTGAATCTTAAAATTGTCGAATCACGTTTTAAATCTTTTTAAAAATGTTATATTCATGTGTCCAAGCACAGTTAATTTTCCCTGTTCCCCTGAAAATAACTATATCAAAGCAAGCAACAGCCAAAGGATGGATTATTCCACCAAATTTAAATAGCAAAAGGGATTTTTCTTAATGAAATAAACATGCTCATCAATCCCTTTACCGGTGAGGAAAAATCTTGATAAGCCCAGTTCTGGTGAGTCATCAGCCAGACTTTTGCATATCCAACAGTCAGACTCCCCTGTGCCTACCATCTATTACCATATAATTGCCACCAAGAAAGCATTTTAAATCTAAATCAAATGACTATAATTCATTTGCACATCAAAGCTAAGATATGCTGTATAGATTTTATGAAAAAAATATTAAACCAAAGCTAAGATGACCAAATACTATAACCAACAACTGCTTCATGGATTTACAAATCCCAAAAAAATAAAAAAATAAAAAGAAAAAACAATTCATCAGAGAAAACATACCACCAACAAATACACATGAGATCATGCAAAGTGTAAAGATCAATTGCCAAGTGCTAGCATTGCTATGCACATAACCACTTTGATAGTATGCAACTTCAATCATAAATAAGTTGCATATAATGTTGACTGGCTACATGTAATATGGAAGTAAAATACAATACAGAAAATATAAAGCATGCGAAATGTATCCTTGACACATAAAATTAGGATAAACGCATCAATTAAGTACTTATTTAAAGGGCATAATAATCAAACACGATAATAGTAACTCTTGTCTTGTTGCAAGCACAAAAGTTCTCAAGACTATTATGCTGCAGTGCAAGAAGTGGGATATAAATACATACAGAGGAATATTGTCCAGCAAGAACTCATGAAAACATCATAGCCCATCATTATACTGTATTGCCTTCACCATAAAATAGTTTAATGGAACCAGCATGTCGAATAATAAAATGTTTGGGCTGCCAATTTACCAGAAGTGAAATTGGAGACTGCTTGAATCTCAAGGACAACATTCTTCTGCCCATAAATAGCAAATATCTTACTAATGGCAGACTACCTCTAAATGAATTTTTCAGAAACTGATGATTTCCGAAGTTGATTGGAAATTGTTGAGTTTGCCAAACAGCATTATGTCTCCAAAACGCAGTAAGATAAAACCATATACCTGTAATGGCTTTCTCCTTAACACTTGAAATGCTTCTGCCCTCATTGACAAAATTCTGAGAAACTTCTTAGTTAGAATGTTTTCAAGTTCATCTGCCATTACCTACACAACAAAAAAATAACATTCATGTAAGGAGAAAATGTGAGACCAGAATTTTATTCAGAGTCCAGAAAAACTTATAAGGGTGCTAATCATGTTTTAAAACGTCACAGATAACAAAACCTTCTTTGCATGCTGGTAAGTAAGAGTAATGAAAATTGGAAGAATGATATAATGTTTTTGAAATTTGGGTGATGAAAGTATACGGGTGGTGATTTTCTGGACTAGAATTTTGATATCAAAAGAACATCTTCAAAAACCAATCTATCAATCAAATTATTTGTTCAAAGATTATGTTTGAAGAAGATGACATTTTTCTTGAAAGATGGTGATGGAAACCATTTTTGTTTTACTATCAAGAAATTATGGAACTTGGAAGGAGATTGAGATTGTTGGCGTTCCAGCTCAAAGGTTTCTTAGCCATGTGAAAGCGTTTACAGAAAGCCTTGTCTCACCCAATTGGTATATTGGTGAGCTACCATTAAAGATTCTTAGTTTCTTAAGTTAATTAACCAAGTTCAAAGAGTGTTATGGTCTCTATTTTTTTAAGTTATTGAGTTTTCTTTGAACTTTCAAAGTGTCTATTTCTTTCCTTATCATTAGCTCAATATGGAGAGTTTATTTCAATTCAATTTAATGCGATCAACATCTCTTCTTAAAAAAATTATTTAATTAAGGTGATTATAAGTAAATTTTATAACCTATGAATGCAGTTTATTGATGGAAATTTGCAAATTACGTAAGCCTTCTTATTAACTTATATTTTTTTTGTCATCCATAATGCTACAGACCCGATTTTTGCACCGAAATATTGTACCGTTACGTGTAACACGTCTCTGATTTTTTTAATAATTTTTTTCGAGTGAACGGCCGTCCATCAAATTTGGACGGCCGTTCACTCATATGGACGCCCGTCCATATATATGGACGGGGGTCCATATACCAGGGACACGTCCCCATTGATGGTGCCCGTCCCTAGTATATGAACCCCCGTCCATAATATGGACGACGTCCTGTGAGTGAACGACCACAAATTTGATGGACGCCATTCACATCAAAAAATTGTTAAAAAATCAGAGACGTGTTACACTAAACCGATCAATATTTCGATGCAAAAATCCTGATGTCCGTAGCATTATTGTTCTTCATCATAGTTTGTTTGTTCTTATTTCTTTGCTAGCCATGACGATTCTTTCCCAAGAAATCTATTCTAAAGATGAAAGCTTTGTTGCAATGGAGCTCCGTGTCTTTACCGTACATGATGCTTCTTTTTCCTTAATCCCTCCTCTAAAATTTAGATTATCATCATCTTAAAAATGAATTATATTTTTACTGTACATGAACATGTATTAATCAGTTAAGGCCATTGAGCGATGAAGTTTGGCAAAATATAATATCAAAGATTGAATGGCAACTTCATTTTATTTGTCTCTTAACAGCCAGGTACATTCAGCCCAGTTTTATTTTATCTAGGAATATGCTTAGAAAAAAATAAAATAAAATAAAAACTCCATTATATTTTTCAATCAAATAGTCATAAGCACAAAAGCAAATAATCCAATTATATCACAGCCCAATCTTTCAATTAATGCTAGTGGTAGTGCACTTAAATACAGGTTTAGTTCAATCCCAGGACAGCATAGTTTGCAAGTACTCTACTAGCTAGAGTCAGGGTTGCAAAAGCGAACTAAGATCAATTTTGTCAATAAAACCAAACTTCTGACTTATTTTCCTTATCAGCTAAGTAAATTTATAAAAAAAATATTCAAAAATAAGATAATTTTTCTAATTAATCATAGTTTATCATTCACCATGGCGATTCTCCCCAAGATATCATTGTGTGGGATTCTTCTCCTCTCAAATTATCAGCAGTGGGGTATTCCCAATTACCGATTTAGTCTATACATGTTAACTCTTTGCTTCAGCTCGTACTTTAGGATCAGCATTTGCTTTAGTATCATTTCATCATATAGTTAATCTTAATTGATTAGGGAATAAAAAAAAGAAATCAAATTAATTAGGCATTTAATAAGGAAATAAATATGTCTAATATAGTATACTATATACAACTTAAATTCTCAAAAACTTTCTGGAATAAATCACTAAGCATTATTATCTAAACAATTTAGGGAAGAATTGCATTATTGTTTAACAATATATTTATCTATCTAGTCTACTTAATTATCCTATTGATATTTGTAGTCATCTTCTATTTAATTTGAAAATTATCTTCTCTATAGTTAAATTTGTATTAGAATTATAACACACATTAAGGTAAAAAATAAAAAAAAAGACGGCCCACAAATTAAAAAAAATAAAATGTAACCATTGCAATTGTGGGCTGGGCCATGAGCCATGTCAGTTTTGGTTGTTTGGCATGGTTTGTGGGCCGTGGCACGGCACATACCATGACATGGTAGGTCATAAAAATTTTGGCACGACATGATACAATCCACCACCACCTTCACTTCTTGTTAATTTTTCTTCGTTAAATCTAACAGTTTGAAGGACAAAAACATAAGTTATTGGCGGCCGCCACAATGACGCCCTCTCAAGTCTCAAGGCCAAGGTCGATATGGCCCTTCTTGAGGCCACAATCATCTTGAAAGATGGAGAGAAGGCGGAGTTGCTATATGGGGCCATAGTTGGAGGTCAATTATGGTTAGATGTGGGTTTAGGCTTAGGCTTGGGTTAATTAGTTAATAGTTAAGTCTAAAAAAATTTAAATTAAAATAAGAATATTTCAATGATTGATGAATTTGTAAATAGTATTAGGGGGCGATTTGAACAAATCTAGGGAAGTCCTGTTAAACAATTACAATGGACTCTTCGTTTACTTTTATTATTCAGTATAATGGAATATAATATCAGAAGAACTTAATCCATTGTAATGCAGGTTTTAGGAAAAGGGTTATAGAATCTTAGTTGAATTAGTCCTCTTATCAATTTCAATCCTATTTACCATCTGATATTTTCTAACTTTTCTATTATATAAGCTTCATATCTAACTTGTATTGGATGATTCTTACCACAAACCCTAAACCCTAGACTTCTTTTCTTTGCTAGCCATGGCGTTTCTTCCCCAAGAAATCTTATTCCACCATATACTTCCAAAACTTCCAGTCAAATCTATATGCCGATTCAAGTGTATTTCCAAATCATTCATGGCTTTGTTCAATGACACTCTTTTCATCAAGACTCACCTGTCGCAAACCCATAGAGATAAACTTCTTGCTATTCCTCAATCTGATCTTTATCTTATCGACCCCAAAACATCTTCTAATGATGAAAAACTTACTGCAAAGAGGCTCGATTTTTCAAACGATAGGGTTTGTTTTTTTGGTTCTTGTAATGGTTTGTGCTGCCTTTATGTTCCTCAACGTCGTGTTTACTTTTTCTACAATCCCTCCACCAAAGAGTGCTCCAAGGAGATACCAATGCCAAATCTTATGAGCGCGGATGATCGTCTCGATTATTATCCCGAAGCAGCTGGTTTTGGTTATGCTCCATCTATTGATGACTACAAAATGGTGATACTTTCTTATTGGGAAGGTCTCACGCATATGTTTTCTTTAAGAAACAATTTATGGAAAAGAATTCATCAGTATGAAGAAAATCTTTTTGGAACTGGGACTCCTGTCAATGGAGCTCTCCACTGGTTGACTTATTCCGTTGAAAATATTCGTTCAATTGTTTCATTCGATTTGGTGGAAGAGAAGTTCAAAAGCTTCCCTCTTCCTGATTATTTTCAATCTGGTTTTAATTTACTTGATGTTTGTGTTAGGATGGCGTCTTTGCATGCTGGTAAGTAAGAGTAATGAAAATGGAAGAATGATAATAATGTTTGAAATTTGGGTGATGAAAGTATACGGGGTGGTAGATTCTTGGACTAGAATTTTGATATCAAAAGAACATCTTCAAAAACCAATCTATCAATCAAATTATTGGTTCAAAGATTATGTTTGAAGGAGGAATGACATTTTTCTTGAAAGATGGTGATGGAAACCATATTTTGTTTACTATCAAGAAATTTATGGAATTGGAAGGAGATGAGATTGTTGGCGTTCCAGCTCAAAGTTCTTAGCCATGTGAAAGCGTTTACAGAAAGCCTTGTCTCACCCAATTGGTATATTGGTGTGAGCTACCATTAAAGATTCTTAGTTTCTTAAGTTAATAACAAAAGTTCAAAGAGTGTTATGGTTCTATTTTTTTTAAGTTATTGAGTTTTCTTTGAACTTTCAAAGTGTCTATTTCTTTTCCTATCATTAGCTAATATGGAAGAGTTTATTTCAATTCAATTTAATGCGATCAACATCTCTTTTAAAAAAATTATTTAATTTAAGGTGAATTAATAAGAAATTTTATAACCTATGAATGCTAGTTATTGATGGAAATTTGCAAATTACGTAAGCCTTCTTATTTTAACTTATATTGTTATTGTCATCAATAATGCTACAGACACCGGGTTTTGCACCGAAATATTGTACCGGTCTACGTGTAACACGTCTCTGATTTTTTTAATAATTTTTTTCGAGTGAACGGCCGTCCATCAAATTTGGACGGCGTTCACTCATATGGACGCCCGTCCATATTATATGGACGGGGGGTCCATATACCAGGGACGGCGTCCCCATTGATGGATGCCCGTCCCTAGTAATGAACCCCCGTCATATAATATGGACGGACGTCCATGTGAGTGAAAGACCATCCAATTTATGGACGGCCATTCACTCGAAAAAAAAGTGTAAAAAAATCAGAGACGTGTTACACGTAAACCGATACAATATTTCGATGCAAAAATCTGTGTCCGTAGCATTGTTGTTCATCATAGTTTGTTTGTTTTATTTTCTTTGCTAGCCATGACGATTTCTTCCCAAGAAATCAATTCTAAGATGAAAGCTTGTTGCAATGGAGCTCCGTGTCTTTTACCGTACATGATGCTTTCTTTTCCTTAATCCCTCCTCTAAAATTTAGATTCAAATCATCTTAAAAATGAATTAAAT